ATCCAAGCTATAGAATATTTGAAGGTAGGAAAATGACGATTCACCAATTTACACCATAAAACGAAATAATTTAATTAGGTTCTACTAGGATTTGAAACTCCTAGATCTTTTGAGATTCATTGAACTGTTTAATGGCATGTTTCAATCTTGATTGTGCCCTCTCAAATTTTGTGACTGGGATGCTGAGGATCACAAAACAAGGTGTCAATAACCATGCAAATATACTTGGTACCCTTAATAATTTATCCCTTAATCGATGTGTTGGTTAACCACACGCGCTCCACCGATACTATGATAAACATTAAGTTACCCTTTGCCTACATTGTTAAATATAGTTAGTGTGTCGGTTACCCACACGCGGTTCACTAACCGACTTAAGCAAGGTGCAAAGTGTAATTTCGTGGGTTAGCACCAAATTCACATTTTCCTAAGTAACTAAGATTGGAATTTTTTAAAACCTTAGTTACATAGTATTTATCATTAATACTTTTAATGAAGGGAGAATTCTAGTCCTTGTCCTACCCGTTCGGCTAACAACCCTCCACCAGTCAAAGAAGCGGTTGGTGACAGTGGACACCCATTAAACTGCCATTTTATAAGCAATAACCTTATACCCACCCCCCTTATAGACCGACTTCGTGAATGCCGCCTACTACCGGTACGACTGACTTGCTCTTATACATACATACATATATATATATATATATATATATATATATATATATATATATATATATATATATAAACTTATAATACTATAATGTATAATGGTTGAATTTTAACTTTCAAATTATAAAGGCTTAAGTTGGAATTAAAGTATTCATAAGGGAAAACTTTACAAATTCCAAAACTTGAGGGCAAGTTTTGATACTATTCAAAACTATTCAATTTCATAACTTATGTGTTTAACGTAGTTTTAATTCAAAAAACTCTTCAAGTTCCATAACTTGAGGATAGGTTATGAAAGACTTTAAACTATTAAAAGAATATGACTTTTCTTTATTCATAACCTATGGAAATATTTATGAGTTTTATGAATCTTAAATGTGACTTTTCATATAACTTGAGGACAAGTTACAAAAACATATTTTAGAACCAACTCTTAGATTAATTTGGATTGAAAACAACAATTTCACATAACTTTTCTATTAATCTAAGCAACTCATAAGAACAAGATAATTCAATCAAGCTTTTTCATGTAATTAGCCAAACTATTAAACTAATACAAAACATGAATCTATTGAAAATTATCTTTGAAATTGGATTAGCATGAACATTACCACACTCGACGAGTTGGATGAATTTAGCCTTGGACTCGTCGAGTCCCTTCATGGAATCGGCGAGTCTGCTGAGCAGACAGGAACAAACTTTGATTTTTCAGCCAATTTTGCAAGTATAACAAGAAAACAAGCCTAGGCTATGACACTATTCTAGGGTTTTGAGCATTCTAACACTCCTAAGTGTACATGCAACCCTAAATACCTCGGATCTATGTTTTCTCTATTATACATGCAAATATGAATATTCCAAGGTATTACCCTATTTAGCATACAATCGTTTGATACTTGGAGAATATAACAAGTTAGAATGCATACATCTTGATGTAGTTTGACACCGTGAAGCTCGAGAGCCTAGTGCCCCAGGTGTGCCATTGATATGTGCATATATAGCCCTTTATTTAATATTAATTCTTATCATTTATTAGCTATTTATTTGCATATTATGGACAAAAGATACTTAAAAGTGTGTGAAATGTGTTTTTAGTCCAAAAAGAATGCTTAGGAGCAAAAAGAAGCAGGAGTACTCATTGGGAAGCTTTAGAATGATCAAGAGAAGAAAAGGCCACAAAATGGATGGAACTCGGCGAGTCGTATCGTCAAATCGACGAGTCTATATGAAGATTCAAGAAGATAAAGACTCCTTAACTTACCCTGCACGGGAATTAAGGGATAGACTCGATGAGTCGGTCATGGACTCGGCGAGTCAGGTCGAATCTATAAAAACGACTTTTCAAATCGACACAAAAAATTCTGGAGAACCCTTGGGGAGAAAAGTTGCGAATAGAAGTCAGAGAAGACCTAGAGAACGAAGATCCAACCCTAAATCCAATTCCGAAGGACATTAAAAACAATTTCAATTACTTTCAATTCAATATATTGTTTCCATCATGTATAGACATATAGATTTCGTTTTTGTTCTTTCAATTACCTCAATCATGAGCTAAAAACCTCTTAACTTCTATTTAGGGAGACAATATTGATATTATGGTTTGATTTATGGTAGGATTAGTTTTATATTGGTAATTTTGTTAATCTAAGTTTGTTAAAGAACCTTATGTGTGAATGATAACTATTTTTCTGTTAATAGGAAGAGAATTAAGTTACATGAGCATCTCTTAATTGTTACCTCAGATAATTTATATGACCACTTTATTATATGACTAGGATTAGCGAATGTGAAACTAGAATTAATAGGAAAATAGGTAAATTCTCGTGTGAGCTTGTGTGATGACCATCAACAAGAGGTTAACTAAAGGACCAATTTAGTTGACCATTACAAGTCTTAATTAACCCGAATAAATAACATAGGAAATTAAAGTAAATTAGACAACTGGTGACTTTTTGAGTTAGTTTGTTTTCTAAGGATTAGTGTAGCGAATGTGAACCTAATCGCTTGAATCAGTAGCCAATAGAACAACTAATCCATTGACTATTACCATAAAATCAACCATAGGATCAATTAAGTTGAACCTAAACAGAAGTTTCCTTCATTATTAAATTTATTTGAATCTTTGCTTTCTTAGTTTCTAGTTAATTAGTTTAATTGTTAGTTAGTAAGTTTCTAGTCTTGCAAAACTAGAGAGAACCATCTCTTTTATTATTTGTTAGTTAATATTAGATAATTTTAGTCATTAGTTTAAATTGCCATTCCCTGAGTTCGATACCCTGCTTACTAAAACTATACCATCAATAGACTGGTTCACTGCCTTTTGTGTGATTAATTTACATTTTATAAGTAGGATTAAAACTAGTTGGGTTTACACACATCAAGTTTTTGGCGTTGTTGCCAGGGAACGTTTCCAACTTTAAATTGGTTACTATTGTGATCCTTTGTGTGAGATTTTCTTGCACAAAGTTACTGCTTTTATTAAATTTTGCATTTGGATTAAATTTTAGTTAGTCGTTTTTAGAAAATTTAGTTTAATTTTTTTTCAGTTTTTGCACTAGACTCGCCGAGTCCCTTCGTACAGACTCGACGAGTCCATAGCTAAACAGAAAACTATCGTTTTTTTTTTCGTTTGTTCCTTTTTATGCGTGTTTATTTTTCCTTTTTTCCAGAACGTTTATGACTAGGGGAGGAGGCACACCATTGATCCCACCTTTGGACGATCCAGAAGAAACACTTAGAAGAAACAAAGGCATAACAATTGGAGATCCCAAAAAATTGAAAAACTCACCACTAAGAAATTTGAAATCCGTTTTCAGCAAGAAGAAAGGCAAGAAAGTTGGAGAATCCAATGCCTCTTTAGCAAGCGAAGACCCGATTAAAGAAGACACCGAGTACGAAACCGAAGAAGAAGAAGAACCTACATACGGGCACGACTTCGATTCCGAAGACGAATTAGCTGTTACCATGAGTAACGTCGATGAAGTCCCCATGGGGGAATGGAAGAAGTGGATTCGCGACGACACTGACCTGGGACTTGTGCAACCCGCAATTCCCGCAACTGCTACTTTTAAGCTTAAAGGTCACGTCCTTGCTCAACTTAAGAAGATTCCCTTCACCGGAAAAGACCACGAAGATGCTTACAAACACTTGGATGAAGTAAATGATGTAGCTTCTTATTTTAATGTTACAAATGTGCCTCGGGAAACTCAGCTACTTCGCATACTACCGGTTACCACTACTAGAAAAATAGCCTTTTACGACGCGCAAATTACGACACTCATTAATATATGTTACGCAAACGAGAGTGACATTAAAAAAGTGTCATCTCTTCAGAAAATTAAAGGATTTAGGTCACGCATTATTGCGTGCCTTTAAATTAGTGTCAAAATAAAAAAAATTAAAAACACGGAGGGCGTTGTACCTTAAATGCGCGCCCTCTATATGTGTCGCTTTATAATTTTAATGAACGTGCGTTCCTTAGTTACAAGCGGGAAAAGAAAAGCCAAAAAATTAGAAAAGCCCGCTACCCTCCCTGCCCTAAGCATTTTCACGCATCTTTCATTCTCCTCACACTATTGTGCAACTTCTCAATCAAAGATCGAAGGTTACGATTTCATCTCCATCTCTCGACTTCATCATCTCAATCAAGAAAAAGGGCTTCTGATTTCCATTCATCTACTTCATCGTTGCTATAATTTCACCTTCTTCATCTCTCTGCTATTATTGAGAATACTCACCAATAGTTTTCTTATTCCCCACTCAATGTTGAAATTTTCATAAAAAGCCCTAATTAAGTATTATACTCTCAAGTCTCAATATTAGAATCCAAATATTGATTCTCGTTTGTTTCTTATTCCCCACAGATAAATCGAAAAAGGGGAATTAGAATGATGAAGGTAGCGGGAGTTTTGGTCCGGTGGTCGTGGTTCATCTATCGAGAAAGGAAGATGGGAACGCAAGCAGCCATGGTGGCTCGATGATGGAAATCAATCGAGAAAGGGGAAGCACCTCTGGTGCGGGATCGATTTGACAAAAGGAGAAGGGAGAAGCAGCGATGCTTCTCTTGTCTGCCACAGCTTGGGGGGGGGGGAGGTGCTCCGACGGTCTCCTTGGTTGTTCTTCCTTGTCGCCAGCAGATTACATGTAGGGAGGGGACTCAACTAGTACGATGGAGTAGGGAAAGTAATGACTGGTAGATCAGGATGATCGATCTATTCATGAGGAGGAGGAGGAAATTATTGGTTCCCGGTGAGCCTTCCTTGGCTTCTTAGACTCTGTCATCGGTAGAAATTGGAGGACCTTTGGGGTTTGGACAGATCGAAGGAAGAAGAATGAAGAAGTGGTGGTCTTTGGTGATTGAAGGTAAACGGATGGGGTTTTCTTGAACCTCACAGGTCGTATTCTTTCTTAGATTTAATGCTTTCCATGAATCTTTTTTGGTGATTGAAGGTAAATGGATGAGATCGATTGATCTATATTATCAGCACCAAATTGACACTCATGTGCCCATTGAAATCACGGTATGTTTGATTTCAGATTATTCATTTCATGTTTCTATTTCCTACTTAGCATCTGAGATTGGTTAATTTCTTTGCTTGAAAGATGGGAGAAATGAAGAATTAACTGGTGGAAGAAGGGAAGATAAAATACGTAGGATTATCAGAAGCTTCGGCTTCAACCATTAGAAGAGCCCATGTTGTGCACCCGATAACTGCTGTTCAACTAGAGTGGTCTTTATGGTCCAGGGATGTGGAAGATGAAATTGTTCCTACTTGTAGGTTATCATTATTCGACTTTTTTTTTTTTAGTTTAAAGGCTAAATAATATAATATTTCAAACACTATATATAATCGTTTTGATCATGAATTGATAAACTAATAAAAGGATTCAAAGATGGCTGAGAATTTGGCAGAGGGAGATTTTCGTCAGGTCTGCATAAAACAAATTGAATCATATTCTTTATCAATTATAGTATAAAATCATTAAACTGAGTTTGAGCTTGTGTTTATATATATATATATATACTTTCTCTTTTTGTAGAATCTACCAAGGTTCCTACTTGAGAATCTTAAGAATAATAAAATGTTGTACGAACGAGTTAGTGCGATTGCAGTAAAGAAAGGGTGCACTCCATCACAACTAGCATTGGCATGGGTTCACCACCAGGGGAAAGATGTTGTGCCCATACCAGGAACCACTAAAATTGAAAACCTTCAGCAAAACATTGGACCATTATCTGTGAAACTAAACCACAAGACATGGCTGAACTTGAATCTCCACTGGGTAATTTCTTGTCCTTCCCAACTCCCAAGTCTTAGTTATGAACATGCTTATGGATGTTTGTTTGGACAAACATAACTTGGTCATTGATCCAATGTTCAAGCGTCCATATAACTAATATTTCTGATGTTTATTTGCTATATATTAACTCAGCTTCAATGACTCAGGTTTATGCTATTACAAGAGAAAGGGATACACTACGTAGAGAGCAAAATAAAAGAAGTGATGCCACTGCGCTTCTAAAGGAAAAGGATGACATAATCACTCAAGTTATGGAAGAGGGTAATGAAATAGCTAACTGCTAGAAAAGAGGTTTCCCAAGTTCTAGATGAAGCTTTCAAAGACCACATTTTCTATACTACAGATGATGATGTTGTTCCTTTTTCATTTATATAGGTGAAAAGCTTTCAAAGAAACAAGCTGTTCAAGAGTATACAATAAGAAAACTACGGGCACAGGTATGTTATGTCATATACTATATTTCCTTTGGACCCTATAAATATTCAGCTGTACATTCTCTTATTATTTGAACATTGTTTTGCGAGATCCCTAGATTAGAGAGTTTGAAGAAGAGAAGAAAGGATTTATAAGCGAGCTACAGGTAATTACTTCTCTACCCTGCGACTATATTTTTGTTCCACAAAATATTTTACATACAGGCCATGAGTGTGGATGAATTACATCTAACAAATGTTTGTGGTTTTGGTTCTATTATTTTGGGCCACCACCTTTCTTTTCATCCCATTTAACATCAAAAATCTACTTTCCCCCTCATTCAAATACCAACTTATCTTTTTAAATTCTTTATGCTTCATCAGCAACCCAACATTATTCTATTAAAAAAATTATTATCTATTATTAGATTTTGTTCTATTAAAGATAACAAAAACAAAAAACTATTTATTAACTGAAAAAAGAAATTAACTATTTTTTTCATATATGAAAATAAACTATAACTAGAACAAAAAATTTCGATTTTTTTTGGATTGTACATGAAAATATGACAATTAAGTGATGACATAGCAAAGTTTCTTATCTTGAGTTTTTGACATATCATGATTTGAAAATTATATACATTATGAAGCTCTTTAAATGATAATAGCTAGCATTTCAGAATAGTGTTAGGTTACTTTTACCATTGACAAGGATCACAAGTAGAGTATAAGATGAATAACAGATAGTTCATCATACCCGAATTTTCTTCTTCTTTCTTGTTTCAATGTCCTGTCATATTTTTATCATTTCTTCTCTCATCATTAAATTTATTTAACTTTTTCAATAACTTTCAGGCTGAAGAGAACAAAGTGGAAAATTTGAAGAGTAAGAAAGCAGCCACAGAGAAACTGCTGCAAGTATAACTTTTTCATTTCTTCTCTCATCATTAAATTTATCATTTCTTCTCTCATCATTAATGTATCTCCAAATGTTACTAAATTTCTAACACTTAAAATATAAAAAAAAGCTTTTTGTAAGTTTAAGTATAATATATACTAGTTTACATTAAATTAAACAAAAAAGGAATTTTTACATGTAATTAATAAAATAAAAAGAATAAAAGATAAAGAAAAAACAATGAAAAACCTCCTATGTTTGATCTTGTAACTGCAGAAACCTGTGTGAACAAGATGTGGGTTTAAAAATAGCTTTCCGATAGGAGATTTGATTTAGTCTAAAGCTTATTTGACCAAAAAGCTCCTAGTCTTGAAACAACTGCAACATTTGATCCCCAAACGTACGAGTTTGTCCTTCACAGTCCTACTTTAACTTCAAGCAAAGCAAGTAACATGAAATGGATTGTTCATATATAAAGATCCCCCCTTTTCTGTGACATCCCCAAAATCTCGGCCATAAAAGACCGATTTTCATTTATGCTTTTAAATATTTTCAGAGTAAATCCTTCTGATTTGAAAGAGTTGCGGAATTTGTTCCAAAAAACAAAACATGATAAAACGATGTTTACCGAAGCATTTCATAAAAGAAATGTATTTTCATTATAATCAAAACTCGGGGTGTCATGTTCCGATACAGACCAATAAGCATAAACGAATACATTACAAGTCATATAACAAATATAAACATATGTAGACTTGTAAACAAAACAACTTGATGGTTCATCCATCTTACGCCCTTGCACCACTTCCTGTAATACAAATAAAACTGAGTGGGTCAGGCTTGGGAGCCTGGTGAGCATATAGGGTTTTCAACCCACAATAAATAATTAAATTAATTATTATCAACCAACAATAACCCAGTTACCCATTCCCGTTATTCTCACTTTACGTCCCTAAAATAACTAACACAAGGGACCTAATCTAAGAATATTTTCATCGGGGTGACAACACATGCTGCGGGGTTTCCTCAGCAATATAAGTCAAATAAGGCAACCATGAGGGGGATGGAATACAGCAATGAACACCCAAGTTCATTAACACCTACAGGTTATGAGCCTGCTAGCGTTCCACTGGACTGTCTAGAAAAGTCCGTGGTCGTCATCTAAATTCCGCTAGATGACTGGATCAAAACAACAACGAGGCCTCTCATCTGTTTATTACACACCAACTATCTACCCATGTTCTACCCAACATATTAGTAGATAAAAACATACATTTTTATACATATTTTCAAAACCTGTATAGCATGCTTGATCAATACATTTTCCATATAACAGATGAGGCACACACACATAACACGTATTTCATATAGAAATAATCATATCTGTAAGATAGAAGAAAGTGAATATACATTCACACACATAACAACAAAATATACACATAACACGTATCTCGTATAAAATACTTTATAGTTATACGTTAGGAGAAAGTAACAACGCCTTCGCACGTAGAAACGACGATAAACTTAATACACTCAAACCATACTTGTATTATTATTGCGTTTATGAAAGGTAGTATACACCCACTTGATCAGAAGATGATCGGACAGCACTACGACTTGCAGAAGTAGTTATCCACAGCAGATCTGGAAGATCTCCACAAAAATCGAACTTCTCGCGGGCAGAGCTTCGGCTCGGAAAATCGCACTTCTTGGGATCTTCGGGATCTCGAGACTTGCTTCAGGAGTCGGGAATGATACCGGGGTTTTGGGATATTTCTTGCACGAAAAACGATGCAAAAACGCGAGAAAACGGGAAGAAATGAGCAACTGAATCGACTGCACTCGACTTCCTTTTATAGGGGCTGGATCTGCGATTTACGCGGGGCATAATTCATGTACGCGGGGTGTACACAACGTCATTGCATGCGTATGTGCTCGAGTGACGTCATTGCATGCGTAGCTGAGGCGGTTCACGAGTACGCTGGGCGTACCCCAAATTACGCGGGGCGTACGCTATTAAGCAAACTTCAAACTTGCGTAACTTTTGCATACGAGCTCCGTTTTCGACGTTCTTTATATCCACGGAAAGGTGAGACTACGCTCTACAGCTTTCGTTTAGACTCTGTTGGCTAATTTTGACTTTATTTTTATTATTTATCTTTAACAGGCCGGGACAGAAACTTTCGTTATAAATTCATAACTTCTTTGTTTGACGTCCGTTCTCGCCTAACTTTTTATCGCTTTGACACTAACAACGAGATCTTCGATTCTCGTTTAGATCACTAAGGCTAAATATTGCTGTAACATAAATTTCGCTTTTTACGTTAATCAGTGTTGCTGGTTCTGTCGCGAAACTTCGACAGGTCATAACTTCCTCGTTATAACTCGGATTTCGGCATTCTTTATATCTTCGGAAACCTTGTTTCAACTACTACAACATTATTTAAAGATATCAAGTTTATTTTACACTTAAATTTTGACGCTTATTTTATTCTTAATTAATCAAACCACATAATCAAGCAATTAAGCACAAAACACATAATACTCAAATAATACAATCTTATTATTTCAAAACGGGTTACAAAGGTTAACCTAGACCATTACATTGCTAAAAATGGCAAGCCCGGAAACACAGGCGTTACAATTCTCTCCACCTTAGAATGATTCCGTCCCCAGAATCACACATCAACAAACAAATGCGGGTAGCGACTCCTCATGTCACTCTCCATCTCCCAGGTTAGATTCGGCCCATTCGTGTGTTTCCATCGGACAAGCACTAACTCGACCATATTGCGTCGCAACTTCTTAGTCTCTCGGTCAACAATTGCCTCTGGTTCTTCAATCAACCTTTTTTTTTTCTCATCAATTCTCAATTCGGAAATTGGAATTATATTGGGAACTTCTCCCGTGAACTTCCTCAAATAACACACATGGAAAGTGTTGTGAATTCCATTCAGTTCTTCGGGTAATTCGAGCTTGTAAGCTTGGTTCCCAATCCTCTGAAGAACTTTAAACGGTCCAATAAACCTTGGACTCAACTTTCCCCTTTTACCAAATCTTATAAGTCCCTTCCACGGCGAGACTTTAAGCGAAACCGAATCCCCAACCTCAAAAGTTATCGGTCTTCGCTTTTTGTCAGCATAGCTCTTTTGACGATCCTGAGCCGCTAACATTCTTTCCCTAATTATTTTTAACTTTTCAGCAGTTTGATGAACCATCTCCGGTCCCATAAACTGCTTTTCCCCAGCCTCAAGCCAACAAGACGGCGTACGACACTTTTGTCCATACAAAGCTTGCTAAGGTGCCATCTTAATGCTCGAGTGAAAACTATTATTATAGGAAAATTCTACCAAAGGTAAATTTTCATCCCAATTACCTAGGAATTCCAAGGTACATGCTCTCAGCATATCTTCAAGTGTTTTATCGTTCTTTCACTTTGACCATCAGTCTGCGGATGGTAAGCTGTACTTAAACATAACTTGGTACCCATTTCCTCTTGTAGACTTTTCCAAAACCTTAAGGTGAAACGACTATCACGATCCGACACAATTGTTAGCGGAACACCGTGAAGTCTCAAATTTCCTTCACATAAGAATTCGCAAGCTTTTCCATAGACCATTTCTCCCTGGCTGCTATGAAATGCGCACTCTTAGTGAATCGATCAACGACCACCCAAATCATGTCGTGACCATTCTTTGTTCTGGGTAGTTTAGTGACAAAATCCATAGCAATGTCTTCCCACTTACCCATAGGCACAGGTAAAGGTTCTAAACTCCCATACGGTTTCTGATGTTGTGTCTTGACTCTCGCACACGTCAAACACTCGGCCACATACTTTGCAACATCAAGCTTCATCGTCGGTCGGGCACCAGTAGAAGGGTTTCAGGTCCCTATACATTTTAGTGCTACCGGGATGAATCGAATACATGGTCTTGTGAGCTTCTTCCATCAGAAGATCTCTAATTCCTCCTGACTTAGGTACCCAAATATGATCTTGGAATACCTTCAGTCCATGACCGTTTGTACCAAACACCAACGTTTTACCCAAACGTTCCTCCTTTCGGTCATTTTTCTCAGAAGCTTCCTCTTGAGCTTTCTTTATACTTTCCACAATGGTCGAGACAACTTCAATTCTCAACGCTCTTGGCCTTTTCCTTTCAAGATTGACTTTCCGACTGAGAGCATCAGCAACAACATTAGCCTTACCGGGGTGGTAAAGTATCTCACAGTCTTAGTCCTTGAGTAATTCCAGCCAGCGTCGTTGCCTCATATTCAATTCCTTCTGATTAAAGAGATATTGGAGACTCTTATGATCAGTGAAAAGTTTGCACTTTGTGCCATAAAGGTAATGCCTCCATATTTTCAGAGCGAAAACTACCGCTGCCAACTCCAAATCATGAGTTAGGTAGTTCTTTTCATGCTCTTTCAGCTGTCGAGAGGCATATGCTATCACCTTTTCTCTTTGGGTCAAAACACAACCCAATCCAACCCCAGACGCATCACTATAAACAGCGAAGTCTTCAACTCCATCGGGTAGAGAAAGTATCGGTGCCTCGCATAGCTTCTTCTTTAAATTCTCGAATGCTTCTTTATGCTTATCACTCCAAGCATAAGTAGCTCCTTTGCGGGTCAAAGCTGTCAATGGAGTAGCAATCGAAGAAAAGCCTTGGATAAACCTTCGGTAATATCCGGCTAATCCTAAAAAGCTTCGAATCTCCGTGGGACTTTTCGGTTGTTCCCATTTCATTACAGCTTCAATCTTTGTTGGATCAACCATTATCCCTTCTTGGTTGACCACGTGACCCAAGAATTGGACTTCATGAATCCAAAAATCATATTTGGAGAACTTAGCATACAGCTTCTCGTTCTTCAAAACTTCTAACACTTCTCGCAAGTGTCTGCCTTGCTCCTCCTGGCTTTTTGAGTAAATCAAAATGTCGTCGATGAACACTATCACAGATTTATCAAGGAACGGATTACAAACCCTATTCATTAAATGCATGAATGTTGCCGGAGCATTGGTTAG